CACATAAATAAATAAAAAATATTTTGCAAGTAAAAAATAATATTCATTAAACACAAGACGATAAGGTAAACACAAACATTCTTCCTTTTCAAGTCCAAAACCCAAACACCAGAGCTCAGAGACACATCTCCTCTGATGTCTTTTCTCTCTTTTCTTCTTAGCAATAATTTGATCAGCTGCCACTCAATATTTATCAGCTTCAACTCCAACATAGTAAGCATGGTTTCAGACTGTGGCCATGGTTACCTGTACACAAACAAGCAGAGAGTAGAGCAGAGCTCCACAGACACTCCAAAGCGTAGTCCACTACTGTGTAAATATGATGTAGAAGTATAAATCAGGCTGATACCTGCGTCCTCAAGATACAAACTTGCATGGCCTTGTTCCTGACCACACCCCATTTTAAGACAAACTCACCCCTGGGTGCTAATGGAGGTGCTAAAGTTCATTTGATATTTAATCAACCTGGGCGACTGGTGTAAAAAAAAAGATAACTGTGTCAGGTGGAAAATGGGAAAGTGATGTTTTTGAATAATCATCAAAAATAGTCTTCTCAAGAGAAAGAGAATCTTGATCACTTTTTGAAGGCCTCGTCTCAGAATTTAAAATCATTTGTAGATTTTAAATCCAGGCCGGTCAAGACCCCCACTGATCGGCTACTCTTCCACGTCATCGCTGTGGTTAGAAGGAAAACGCCTCTTTCAAAAAGAACAAATAACTTTAATTTATTCATGATTAGATTTTTATCTAAGTGAGCGACACGCCCCCTAAATACAAGATGATGATTTTACACTGATACTTGTGGTGTTAGTCTTGGTCTTGGTCTTGACTCGGTCTCAGAGCGCTCTGGTCTCCGGTATGTGGTCTTGAGTACATCACTAGGTATATCGTAGTCAAGGAAGTCGTGTGTGACTTCAGTTTTACTTCAATGGAGACCTCACAGACACATCATATCAACTCGCTCTTCTGTCGTCCTCTTCTTTCTGCTCAGAGCTCTGGCACGGCTGCAAGCATTCCCACCTCGCTCCACATCGAGTTGTATCAAGTTACATCATCAATGCATCCAGTTTCTATGATTTTGAATTTCAAAAGGGGGAGCAATGTTTGTGGGGAAGAAGAAATGTTCAGCAAACCCAGTTCCTGCAGAACATCCAACAGAGATCTTTCTGCAGCGTGGACGATTATCCGGCTCACAAAACGCTGATGGGTCACTTTAGCATGAATGAAAAAATGTAGAGAACCAGTGACCGCAGCTGCTTTAGTATTCTCTCTGCAGTTTGTCTGCATGTAATAACAAGAAATGAGCAGATTTAGACGATTCTGCGCCTCAGCTCGCTGTTTATTTCTTTCTTTCTTCTTCTCAGGATGCTTCTTTTTTTATCAGCTGTTAGCGCTGCGTTCACTGGGGAGGCAGTGACGAGTACGCTGCTGTGTGTGCGCGCGTGTGTGTGTGTGTGCATTTCACAAATCCTGTGCTAAAGTTAGCTTCCCTGCTCGATTCCAAGCCCTGAAGTGTGATAAGTCACAACCATGACAACACGCGCTGCCGTCTCCTGACCCCGCCTTCTTTAATACTTCCATTGTTCCCAATAACCTGACATTAGTTTCCATCAATCTACAGCTCAATTCTCCTCCGGCTGTGAATTTCATCCAATAATTTCTTCATTAATGCATTAATTCTCTCTCTTATCCTCTCCTCCGTCCATTATTAGAATTCCTCTCTGCTCATTCAATCTTCACAGACTAACCTTTATTTCCCCCCCCCCCCCTCCCCCCTCCCCCTTCTCCCCCAGCTCTGTTCCTCCCGTCATCTCATCAGAGAGCTTTAGTCTGATCTAATATCAAAGCTCTCATATCATATCAAATAATGCTTTATGGTCAGGAGGAACATTAGCGATCACTCTCTCTCTGCAGCCGTGCTCATCCCCTCCCCTCCCTGCTTCATCCACGACGCCCCCCCCATGTCTCCTTTCTTAAGAAATCGCTCGTTAAGTGGTGATCGACTCGTGTTAGAGACACACTGGTCAAACAAGCTTTTCCCTCACACACACACTCAGAACACAAACACAAACACAAACACAAACACACAGAAACATTTTTCATTTCTAATGAGCGCTGATGAGATAAAAACCCACAATGCAATTAGTTACCTCAATGAAAACGAGTCCTGACTAGAGCAATTATAGCAGGGTTTTGTGGAAGATCATTTTGTTCTTGTGTTAAAACTTGCAAAGCTGTGCTCATCAGTGGATAAAAGGAGTTTCAAGCCGCTCTACGGAGCGTTTTAGCTTCTTTCAGATCATTGTTTCGGTTTAGTCTCACAGCTCTCTTGAAGATGGAGCAGGTGACTGTTTTCAATTCAATTAGGTCGCTTCCCATGTACGGAGGCTATAGTCCTCCTAGCAGGCAGCCCCGGGTTCAAGTCCGACCTGTGGCTCCTTTCCCGCATGTCAGTCTGCACTTTCTCTCTCTTTCTTCCCAATCTCCAGCTCTGTCCAATGTCCTCTCTAATCATCAACAAAAATGATACACCAGCTACCTGTCCAGCACCGTGCAGAAAACAGAAAACAGACAGAGAGTTAAGAAGACAGGTATCGTTCTGATGAGCAGGTAGAGACCACAAACGGAGCTTAAAGACAGTAAATATTCACTTTGTGTCTTCAGGTGGACAAAAACATGACTCCTGATAGATGTCAGTGTTTGATGATGTGTAAATAAGCAACAGCTTGTTAATATGATGGCTGCCACAACCAAGCAGCAAAACAATGCAAAGTGAAAAAAACTGCAGTTCCTCGAGTGTCCACTTGAAGGCTGGCTGCAAAAGACCCAGAAGTCCTATACACACCCCATGATAAAGTGTCAAATTTCACAGCAGAAATTAACATGAAAGAATGGTACAAAGATGATTTGGGTCTTATAAGTTCATTTTTTTATCAGCACACACTTTACAGGGGGATGTATTTGTTTATAACACACCCGTTTTGATTTCATGAATAATACGAGTTATGCATAATTAGGGGCGTGGCCAAGTTCTAGGTTTTTTTTTTCAGGAGGCTTAAGGCCCGCCTCAGCTCCAGCTCTTTGCCTGTTGTAAGATCGACTGTAAGTTTAATAGTTAGGATTTCCAATATGGCGAGCGCCATCAATGAGCTTCCAAAAAACAGCCCTTTAGAAACCAATGGCTGATGTCCCTCAGGCTTCGTCCATCAAGGCTGCAGAACTGCTTTCAGCATATTTTCTTTAAAAGTGAAGCCAATGGAGAAGCGTCATGTACCTGCTTGTTTTTTAATGGCCAGCAGGGGGCAGCGACTCTGGGTGTAATATATGTCAGATTGTATGAAACTAGATGATAAAATGTTCCCACTTCCCCGCTGATTTATTCCCTAAGTTCTCAATCTTTAGTTTCAAGTCTTCTTCAAAACAGCCCGATGTTTAACTTTTAAGTTATGGTCCCCATTAAGAGTCACATCAGCATATGTGTGATTGATAAGTCGTTTCCATGGTGATCTGCCAACCAGGACGAAAGGCAAACAGGATGGAGAGGAGACAACCAAAAAGCTGAACTTAAAAACGGTCGTCCATGACCAACAGGTGACATCACAGTCGCTACGTCCACTTCTTCTACACAGTCAACGACAACAACATCCAAAACAGCTCGCTCACACTCACAGTTTAAACCACCGGGTGTGACAGGAAGCTCTTCGTTGTGAAGCGAGCCCTGAGGAAACACTGCGTCTACAGTGTTTAATAAATAAATGATGGTTATGATGGAGCAGGAGACGAATGAATCAGAGTACGCATGGACCAAAATGCATGAATCCAGAGTTCCTCTATAAAACAAAACTCCAGCCTGATGACCGAGAAAAATCCAGATCCAACATTAACAAATTATTATCTGCACATATTCTGAATACGTAAAAACAGACACAGTGTGAGTGCTTTCCTGCACTCATTATAGTCTATCGTAGTGCCACACCTCAGCAGGAGGCTGAATGTGGCAGAGGATATTTTCTGCACAGATAAGATGTCAGACACTGAAGGGGAACAGTCCCAAAAGGAAAAGGGCGTTGAATACAGAACGCAGAGGAGAGCTCCACACCTTACATGTTGGTTTGAAGAGATAGAGCAGCAGCAGTGGGTGTGTGTGTGTGTGTGTGTGTGTGTGTGTGTGTGTGTGTGTGTGTGTGTGTGTGTGTGTGTGTGTGTGTGTGTGTGTGTGTGTGTGTGTGTGTTCATGTGTTTTAGTCATGTATCTTCTGATGTCTGTGTAAAGAATCCTCACATGTTTGTCTTATTAAACTTTCATATTAAGACCTTTGTTTTAATTATATTCGTACCATCAGAATTAAAAACACATTGAGCTGCTGTCCTCAGGTACCTGCAGCCTTAGAAAAGCCTTCATGCACCCAAACAACACAGAAAGACCCCACCTCCATCTCTCCCCATGGAGGGCGGAATAAAGTACTGCAGGTGAGACTGGACCAACAGGTTTTTAAAAGATAATAATCATTCTTTTATTTTACTGTTAAAGCTGCAAAAAACCTGAAATTTCAAAACCAACAGGTTTGCCAATTCTGTGCCCAGGGAGGGATTAAGTCCGGGACGAAACAAGACTTCAGACCTCGAGCTCTTAAACTCTCAGCAGGTGATGTTAAGATGAACATGAATGAACATCAGCATCAATGAATGAATGAGAACATGCGTCCAATCAAAACGCTTCACACAGTCACCTTAGGTAAAAAACGCACAGACACCCCAAAAAACAAAAAAACAAACACCAGTTTTCTCTCATAATGCATCTTAATTATCCATCAAATCGTTTTATCTGATAATCCAACTTTTGAATCAAACACACAACCTCAGAAAAAATCAACAAGGACAAAATTCCTTCAGATAATGCCGCTTTAAATTAAATGAAATAAAATGAAATCATATTTCAGCAGCAGACAAAAGGCAGCATCAGAAGTAAAGAGCAGTGATAATAATAAAGGGTTACGTACTGAATCTCTGAGGCTCCAGCTCCATGCTGCTGCCGCTGAGTCGCTAAAGCAACTGACACCAAAGAGACAGAGAGCGAGGAGTAAAGCACCGCCAAGCTCTCTCTCTCTCCTCCTCTCTCTCTCTCTCTCTCCTCCTCTCTCTCTCTCCTCTCTCTCCTCTGTCTGCGTGGATGTCTCTCACCCGGGACACTGCTAACCCAATTTTCCTCTTTTTCTGCCTTTTCTCATTTTCCATCTCTGCCTGTTATGAGTTTTCTTCACCTCACCCCACTCTGCCTACTCTCTCTCTCTCTCTCTCTCTCTCTGTTTCACTCTCTCTCTCTTGCAGCCTTGGTTGCCATGCACACTATCTGTGTCAGGACTAACTCCTCATGTGTTAAAAGTAGCATCATGCATGTTTATGTAGGATAACTCTTGTCTGAGAGGTGCAATAACTGAGATGTGAATATCCGTCTTTTCTTTTGTTCGATCTCACTAACGATGGTGGGGATCGAGCGCTGATCCCTGACTGCAGGTTCACACAGTGAAGGGAATGTTGAAAGTGTAATCTGTGAAGGATAAGCAGTCAAAAGATCACCACACCCCTCTGATTTTTATTTTAGACAACAATAAATTTGATCGACATAAAGAAGAGGAGAGATCGAAATAACTGGTTAAATGAATCTGTTTTTGGAACTGTTTCCTCTGCATGAATCCTCTGCTGCTTTCTGGTCTCTTTGACTCTAAATAATAGCTTAGCGTGTTTCCACATGCTCACTTTACTTTGCATCAAGTCGAGGATATCTGCGGTCAATCAGCTCGTACAACAATTAAAGCAATCACATCCCATCTGTGGAGGGTTAGTTACATACAGCTGGTTTTTAAATGTGTTTATCGCAGTGGTAGGCTATAAAAAAACAAAAAAACAAGTCTACGTACTGAAATCAGTATCTTTAGTTTTTTTCTTTCTGATGGAAAAGAAAAGCACTGACAAATGTCTAAGTCTTGCAAACCGTTGGTATTTGGGTGGTAGTTTCTTCAATTGACCAAAATTAGTACAATTTATGTGAATCTGATTCTGCAGCGGTGTACCGCCTGGCTCTGTGCCGGGATTCCAACCGGTTTCTCAATGAAGGTGCTTTGCTGACCGGCATCTCACGTGAGAATACACTGACCGAGTGCATCAAATTATCCAGAGGAAGAGGAACTGTCCCTTTAATTTCTACCTGTAGTAAGAGTGGAGCAGTTAGCGGCTGAATCCTCAGTCGACATCTTTAATGGATTCAATCTCGTAGTGAAGCTAATCTTGGCGGCTTTATGAAACTAACAACATCCTGTTTTCTTCTGCATATACATCACCTGAACGAGGAGAAATGCTCCCAGAGCTCCGTTCTCCTGTCACATGGAGACAGATGGAGGGATGTCAGAGCGCTGAGCGATGACAAAGACTGGTCTGCTTCCCTCCGGATGCACCAACAATTATTGTGCAATTATGGAAACAACACGTGGTTTAGAAACTCATTAGCAGCTTCAATTTAAAACACCCTGCCAGACACTCTTACACCACCTGAGCCTGGTCCTGTGTGCAAGTGTGTGTGTGTGTGTGTGTGTGTGTGTGTGTGTGTGTGTGTGTGTGTGTGTGTGTGTGTGTGTGTGTGTGTGTGTGTGTGTGTGTGTGTGTGTGAGTGTGTGTGTGTGTGAGTGAGTGAGTGAACTGAGACAGATGGTGGAGAAGTAGAGACAAAGAGTAAAAAGCCCCAGAAACATTAATTGGGAAACTTCTTAGATGTTGTACACGTATCTGAAGGTACACACATATAAATGTTCCTCCACACACACCTGTGGTGCTGGGTATGAAACGAGACAGTTTCCATGGCAGGACGTCACACATTCAGAGACACAGAACTCAACCCAAACTGCTGTTGATGCAGGGAGCAGCCATGTTGGATTTTAACTCCGGCTACTGAAGGTTTTCAGAATTTCAAAGTCAGAATTTAGACTTCAGGGCGGCGTTCCTGATGACGTATCGGACCGGCAACTGGGATTTTCCGACTTCTGAGATCAAATGGACGCACCATAACCATGCAGATAAAGAAGTGAATGTCTTCAACTTGAAGCCCCTGACAAGTTTGTGGACTATCCTGCAGCCTTCAGAAAATTTTAAATCTGTACTCAGGGGTTTTGGATTTAATTTGAGAATCTGTTCTAGATTCACATTTTCAATTTGAGAGACACATCTTCCTGCTGCTGTGTCGTGTCATGAAAGCCAATTAGCGCTCAGATTTCCAGACTTCCTTGAATGCATCAGAAATGATCGATCAACCAACAAACATTTTAAAAGTGGTTTTCTATGCCTGACAAAGCTCGACTTTGTGCACATATCTGTGCCCTCTGCAGTGGCTGAGAGTTTCTCCATGCAGCTCTTTTCACTCGTTAATCCCCATCTGCCTGCTTCAAGTTCTGCTGATGCCTCCAAAACGGCTTCTGTAGAGTTTATTAGCCATCTCTTGACCAAGTCTTGGCCATTTAAGATACACAGTTAAGAAACCAAATGCTGACTCTGCCAGTCCTCTGAAGGCCTGATCCAATTTAGCCCGAGCGCTCTGCAGAGCTTAAAGTGGACGGATGCAACCTGGGATTTGAACATCAGGTTGGACCGCATTTATAAAGTGAACGAATAAAAAAAAAGGAATGACTGTTTGATCTTGGTATATGTGGTTTCAGATGAGCAGCCGTACACTCGGGCAGTCCAATCCCCCAGGTGGAAGCTAATGGAGCTGGTCCACACCCTGCACGGGTCGGTGAGGAGCCAATGAGCCTCCGCATGCTTTCAGCCAAATAACACTTCACCTCTGTGAGCATCACAGCACACTGACTGATGGATGAACACAGGGATTAATGTTGCAAAACACACACACACACACACACACACACACACACACACACACAAACACACACACACCAGTGAGCTGTGGAGCTGTGAGATAAACAGATTTCAGCAGCCAATAAGGAGAGGGAACAAATGGGCAGAGATGGAAACAACAGGAAGAGGAAGCTGTCGGTACTGTAGATCAGATATTCATTGATTGAGAGACAAATAGTCCCAGGGTGAAACCTGAACCGATTTAAGAGACATTTTGAAGACATGCACTTTGTTTCATCAGCAGGTTTTCATCCATATCGTGCTCCTTTAGCTTGTTCAACCCTAAAAGAATCAAGATGAAGAAATATGATTTTTGGGGCATGGTGGTGCAGCATAAGTCTCGACACTAACCAGGCAGATAGCCAGTTACAGTTTAGGATTTTAGGATGGAAAATCAAACTTCAGGGTGACCACTGAATTCTGACCTCACATTCAGTGAGGACCCTTCCTACAAAGGTCAAAAGGCCGACATGGGTTCAACCTTTTCCTTCATCGTCCCCACAGAGGCAGGTTTGTCACAGGGTGTTTGTGTGTCATCATTCATCTTTTTCCACACACACACATTGACTCTGTTTTGAAATCAACAAGCAGAAAAAATGCACATAGGATGGTTGACTATTTTCTTCTCTTTTGTGTATTTTTGAGGTGATCAGGTAACTCTTCTTACTCCGGCTTTGTTCTGACTTCCCTTTGTGTATTTTTATAAATTATCTGTGATGCAGTTCAGCGGTTGTTGGGGGGAGGGGGCGCGTAAATTAGTTGTCGGTTAGCTGGCGCTCTGATTGAGCAGCCAGATGTAACCAGAGAGGAAGAGGAGGAGGAGAGCAGCATTAAAGCATTGATTTATTCATTGGAGAGGTGAAGTGGCTCCTCTGGCAGCGGTCCAGAGGCACGCTCCTTTTTAGGCTGAAAACTCATTTTTAGCTCCACTCATCAGACGCCGACAAGTTCCTCTCTAATTTGAGTCATTGTCATTCAGTTTTATTCATCCTCACTCGCTCTAAAATCTCAAGTTTCTTCTCTGTACTTTTAATTATTTTCTCTGGTTGGCCTCGTGTGTTTCCATCCTGTAGATGAGATCAAGGTGCATGATTATTTTCACTTATTAAGCTTGTTGTTTCCCCTCAAACTTTCAGGTCTGTTTCACATAAGCTGGCTCTCTGCAGTGTAACAGTAGTGTGCAGGGCCGTCTTCATGAACAGATCTGACATCGGGCCCCTCCATCACAGCCTCAGTCGAGTAGTTTTCATTAGATGGGTGTGTAAGAGAAGAATGAGTCCATCAACAGTTGCAGGCAAACTTCTGCACACTGTCCAACAGCACTGGCAACAATGCAATTTATGCATCTGAAATTTTTAAAGTGGCAATGTTTGGATTTATGCGTTGGACTGCACGGACCGGATCCAAACATTGTAACTTTGCAAACCTCATATACATAAATACCAATGTTGCCAATGCTGTTGGACAGTGTGCAGAAGTTTGCCTGATCATCAAAATAAAAGAACTGATCCAATATTGGGTACCATGGGACTTCTATCTTTGTTGCCGTGGTAACAAACAGGTATCGATATAATCTAACTTTTAGTAGAATCAAACCCTCCAGAGTCCAGACTGACTCTGGGGCTCGTGTCAAGGCTGAGAGTCTTGACACAAATTAAGCTGCCGCACCATTTCCTGCTCATGTCATAAAGAGTCAATATACAACAAAAAAATTAATGATTTATTTGAACTTCATGTCTTCATGCACTGCACAAGAAAACAAAAAGTGAAAACAGTTTTGTGTTGGAGTTGAGTTTTTCTTCAAAACATCAGTCTGTCACTGTCACCATTATAAACCTCTCCCAGTATAGATTTGCAGATTTATAAATAAGAAACAGTCAACATGTTTGTGTCACCTGTTGTAAACCCCCCCCCCCCCCCCCCCTCTTTTCTCCTTAAAAGTTTCATTTTGATGGAAAACCCAGAGATACTGAAATACAGAGACACTAAACTGGAGTAACAACAATAGAAATCAGATGTGTTGTCAGAATGTACAACAAGGTGACGAGGAGAGAAAGATCTCACCTGTGCAGGATGAAGCCTGACTGCAGACACCTGCTGGTTTCTGTTTCTTTACATCGACTGCTTCAGTTAGACTTTTGAGAGAAACACACGAGAACATCAGCTGGAGGTATCTCTGCAGAAAGCTTCATGCTAAAAGACAAATGAGACGGTATGCATGATGCCAACGACCCTCTGAGAGACGAGCTGTGATAACACACACACACACACACACACACACACACACACACACACACACACACACACACACACACACACACACACACACACACACACACACACACACACACACACACACACACACACACACACACACACACACACACACAGTGTTTAGTGTCCATATTAAAACAACACATGCATAAAGCATGAGCTTATCTGGAAGAGCAGATGATGTGTAACGTGTTGCACATAAAGGACGATGTGTGAAGTGTGTGAGTGTGTGTGTGTGTGTGTGTGTGTGTGTGTGTGTGTGTGTGTGTGTGTGTGTGTGTGTGTGTGTGTGTGTCAGGGTTTTACTGTTTTGTGTGGCAGCTACAGCTGATGCTTCCTTAACACTGAATATGTTAAATAATTTTTATATAAAAGCATTTTGATTCAAATCCCTGCCCAAGAAACTCCAGTATTTTATTTCCCTACCTGAGGCTTCACTGAAAATGTTCACATCCAATTACCTGATTGTGCCTGTTTGAAGGAGGCTACATGGACATTATGATATTCTCCATGTGATGTCATCAACACAAAAGGTGTGCGAGAAAATATTTAATCGTTTTCTATTCTGTTGCCATGGTGAAGTCGGTCGCCTCTTACTCATAAGGTCGGGGGTTCGATCCCCAGCTCCTGCAGCTACATGTCCGATGTGTCCTCGGGAAAGACTCTTAACCCCAAGTTGCTCCCACTGCTTCGTCTGCAGTGTGTGAATGTGTATGAATGGATGATTTAATACTGATGGACTCTTTACTCAGCAGCCTCTACCATCAGTGTGTGAATGTGTAGGTGTGACCTGCAGCGTAAAAGAGCTTTGACCAGTTAGAAGTCTAGAAAAGAAATACACAAGCTCATTTATAGAGCTGTAGGCTTGACATATTTTCACTTTTTGAAGACTTGACTTTTTCCACCTCCAGCATCATCAAAGCAGAGATCCGTCTGTTTTGATCTCTTCGTTCTCCTAAAATAAATGTGTTTTTTTCACGGTAAATGCTCTGATATGTTTCCCAGCTCGTCTCTAACTCTGTCTGTCTGTAGTGCTGCTGGGCAGGTATTTGTTTTATCCATGGCCTGTGAGCAGAGAGGAGCTGTGAGAGTTTCCGTTCACACGCTCAAAGCTTCTCCAGGCTGCTGCGCTCAATATGAGTCAGTGATTGTTGCAAGAAAAAGAAAAAAATCTGATTTGTTTTTATATTTTTGGTTTCATATTAGAAGGAATCATTCACAAATTCCTCAAGAGATTGGTATCTGGTTC